TCTGGAAAAATAATTCTGAGCTTATTGATTCTTTACTCGATTCGGCAGCCTAAAAACAATGATTTCAGACACACCTATTTTTCAAAATTGGTTTGGTGCATGTGTGCGTGTCGGGTCACGAAAGAGCCAACAAGACCGCTCTTGGTACGTGCTCAGCTGGCAAACATATTTATACTCAAATTACACAACGCTCACCCTTGCGGTTGACACTAATCCAGCATAAAAATAAAGTCGATAATTTAATTGCGACTTACTTTCCGAAAGCGAGAAACAGGGATACTATATCGCTTCGGCGCAGATGAAAGTCCGGCCTCCGACGAATGACATTGTCCGCAGATCGCTCGTAGATGTCACCCGAAAAGAGGATCTTCAGCGCAGTACCCATACCTTGGGTCTGCATGAATAATAGAAGAGGTTAGTAGAATAGGTAGCGCGAAAAGAGAAATGAGCAAAGTGGAGGTCGCAGTGAAGGTCACACTGTGTCTAAATGCAATTACCAAGAGTATACTATGATAGTGGTCAAGTGTAGTCTCCGAAAGCCCTTGGGCGGGACGGTGCTGCATAAGACTATTGTGAGGAAGATGTGCACGGCATTGGTCTTACCAGCCTCCTCTCCTTTTACGCCTTCCTATTACTGGCCACTGCCAAGACGGAATCAGCACGACATTAAAGATTGGCATAGACGCAGTGAATGGGCGGACATTTTGACCCTCTTCACGTTGTGCACATGTTTTTGGTGCCAGTTTGACCTTACGGAAAGCAGCAGCACCCGTTTTGGGGGGAAGCAAGGTCAAGCATAACAGTTCGATCGTCGCGAAAAATGATGTCCACTCTGTGTGCCCTAGGGTGTGGGTGCAGTAGCGGTGGCTGGCGAATTAATTAACTTACGACGAGACAGACTTTCACCGCATCCACATCACTCTCTCCTCCCTTATCAGACAAGCCAATATCAGATTGATGATTGGAAGATCGGGAGCAGGTCCTGAGAAATTTGAAGGGCCTGTCTACGTGTGCCATACACGAACTGCCTGGTCTCTGTAAAGCCGGTTCGGATGAAATCGCCAATATTGCTATAGAGTCCACGTCACAGCCCGAAAATCAATCCTCCGGTTACTCAAAAAGTACTCCCCAGTTATCTCGTCAGTTGATAACCTTCCAGGCCACGACATTCAGTGTGTCAGATTCATTGTGGTGAAAATGTACTGAGATGTCATACAGACTAACACTCCAGTGTCGGTCTCATTCGCCCTTTTTTCTCTTATGCACCAACCAACTCGCCAACTCACAGCAAGTACGACCGTAGATGATGGGGCTGGAGGCGGCGGTCGAAGTGGCATGAAACCTCCATGAGATGCATGCCCCACGCACGTATGTGTATGTGTGGCATCGAGTAAAGTTTAGTTTAATTGCTCACTCCGAAACGTCGCACCCACCAACTGGATAAAAACAATAAGTAATCCTCGGTAAGCCGTATGTCGAAATTAAACGTGTACTCACCAATTAAACTTTTGAAAAGTAAGTAAACAAAGGTGTATGGGAGCAACAGCTAGAGTCTACGGAAGTTAACGCGCCGCGGACGTAGGTAAGGAGTTTCATTGGCAGACCATTGCTCCTGTGTTCGGAAACCAATCCTCGCTTGCTTCGCAGCCCCCTTGAACAACAGACCTACAGCATGCGAACAGCTATGCAAACGCTTCCGGAAAACGATGGCTTCACGAAACATAATTCGAGATACGCGGGATGCCAGGCAGAACTTAGTTATAGTACATTCTGGAATAATATTCCGCAGAAACAAATTAGATAGCGGCAATTAAACCCTCCTTGCCAAAGCTTCCCATTCCACGAAAAGAAGATCCGTAAGAACCCGATAATATGGAATTGGGATTAGGTTGTTGAACAAAACAAATAGCGTTTGAAAAAAAACTGACCTGGATTTTGCCCCAGAGCTTGCATTTTTCACAATGGACGCAATCCATTATGCGTGAGATATTATAGAAGTGCTGGCGAAACTGCGTCTTCAGTTGAAGCATGTCCTCGGCTGCATCAGGAAAGAGTTTGGTTTCGTCAAACACGTGACCGTTAGCTCTGATGGGAGAGAAATTGACAAAAAGATCAAATCTTGCCTGAAATGCTCGATTAGCACTATTTGTGGGGAAGGGGAGAGGGCAGCGAAGGGCAGTGGTGACCCGGACACCAATCAAATAATAGGGCAGAAGGCTAAAATACTGAGAAACACTTCTGGTGCCCCGTTAATTCCGCTCGTGTCCGCCATGGTAACGCATATTGAAGGTCCACGTTGACATCGCGAGACATTCCTCTCACATCGGCCGCGGCAAAGCCCTAGATATCCATGTTTAGAGATTTCTTTGTCTACCCTTACGCAACAAAACAAACCCAGTCGACCATCTTGTCAGCCCTGCTCAACGGATCCTCACTTGAAACTGTACTAGACCTCACGAGAGCAAGGTCGAAGCAACAAGCAGTAAACCGTGCTGGATTGCATGTCTGAGGATACATGCATTTGTAACGGCCAAAAATAGATAAAACGCCGGAGTTAGCAGTTGCAGAACCCGGATCCGTTGTCCGTGCTCCTAACTGCATTTACGAGGATCGTTTATCCACCAGGATCTCGTTATTAAACCTACTTTTTCCACTCGGCGCCCCAGTAAACGTCAACTATCCGTACTGATCACTTTGCCGTCCAAGAATAATGCCGAAAGTAAAACGTCCAAGATCCTCCATTGTAAACACGAAGGATATCCCGAGATTATTAAATACCAATCAGAATCAATAAGCAAATGTGCGTCTGACGTTAATGTTTGCTAGGTATTACTTTCGAGCAGAAGGGGAATCAGTACACAAATGAATTTTTCATCCACGACCGGGTATGGACGACCACATCAGAGAGGAGAGTACAGAATGCTAGGAAACAATATGCATACATAAAGAATGTCCTCAACGTTGCATGATTTTAAAGCACATGCAAGTATATATTTGTTCGCATGACGAACTAGAAAGCAATAAGGTCAAGTTCAAAATAGTTCTACGAAAAAATGCAATCCTTTCTTCAACACGAGAGTTCAGTTCGGTCGACACTCTCAAAGTTAGTTGTTTGCAAGAATGTCTTACAGAGTTCTCCAACCACTATGAATACCAGCCACTAGGCAAACACTGTTTCAAAACCTTCGAGAATTACCCATCAGACATGCTACGGAGGCGGGAGCCCCCGTGCATTCACAGCAGTCAACGAAAAGGGCCGCTCGGAGTACGTCACGCCCTCATGCCAGACATCCACGCCTGTGCATACGCCGTGAGCCAAGAAAACCAGACGACCACCCACATAGCAGGCGCAGTGGACGTAGTCAAGATTATT